AACTATCAGTAAAACAGGGCAGGAGGAGGCTGTATTTACCTAATTCCTGAATTGTAAGGATGAGACTAGCACAGCCCATTTTCTTGACCAAGATGATATTTGGGTACCGGCTGGAGGTATTCCCCTTTTGAATATTCAGCTGTGCACATACTATATAGGAAGCCCAGTGGAGATTGGCAGCGTTTTGTCTCAATCTGGCAGTTACCAAAGCTTTTGGTATTGGAGCAGCATCAGTGGTGATGGAGCGCTCAAAAAGATTTTATCAGGTCTCTGACTATGGTCTACTGAGCATATGTAAATTCTGATTTTCAGAGGCTTATGCCCCAGACAAATAAAAAAGGATTTTCTAAGAGATGGCAAAAGTTACTTCCTTTGACCCAATGACTGTTCTCTTGCCAGATTTTGGGTCGCTACTGCAAAGCCAAAGAACCATGTTTCAAAGAAGTGATTTTACAGAAACTTGGTCCTGGCAAAGTGGTCTGGATGGCTTAAGCTTTTTTTTTTTTTTTTTTTTTCTCTTTTATTTTCTTTTACATAGCTGACTTGTTCTGTCCTGAAAATGAGCAAACAAATTAATGCCTTCAAGACAAACAAAAACACATAAAAGGTATCACAGAAATTCATGCAGAATTCTGTCACATCGTACAATTGTCAACTATAATGACTAGAGGTGGGCAAATATTTTTACATCAGTTAATTAATTCACCGAGAGTGGAAAGTGCTAAGGAGCCAAATCATCTTTGTGTTCAGTTTTGCAGAAAAAGAAGATAGGGAGGAAAAAATGTAACCAGCAATTTTGGAATATTTCATTTTCCCTTTAAAGAAGTAGCTTTTCACTTTCATTTTGAAAATATGGTTTATATTTGGCATCAATATTTAAAAATAGTTAGAATATTAAATAAAATATTAAAAAGCACAAAAATAAAATAAAAAATCCCAGCTAAATTAATAATCATTTAAATTAAAACTAAAATTTTAAATAAAAATAAAACTTGTTTAATCTTAGCCTCTGCTATGTGTTTTCTCAATTACTCAGATTAGCAACCTAGCTTAAAATCCACTTTTCTTTCATCTTTACTAATGCCTAAGGTCAAAGACTTGGTACATAATTTCATCAGATCCAGCAAAATACCACCTTTCAAACTGCTGAAAAGTTGCAGTTCTTTCCCTGTTTCCAGGCACAAACATTCTCATAATTTAACTTATGCTGTCTCTGACATTTGCCACACTGATCTGCAAGTCATTTCAACTCACTAAAAATGGCATAAAATGGAGGGGGGGCATGGGAGAGGTATAGTATTTTCCTACTTATTTATTAAGTGAAATCAGCTGAGGAATAGGGCTAAACAGTGCTGGAGCGAGCACAAGGAAGAAAAAAAGGAGAATGTTAGCTTGTCTTTGGGATAACAGTGAACTATTATTCTAGTACAAATGCATATGAAATTTTAATCTTTTAATAAAAATAGTAAGGTAAAATGCTACTTTGAAAAATACACACCAGACTAGTTGAACTCTCAATGGCTTTATACAGATAGCTGCAATGACAAGTAGCTGAACAACGCAGGTGATACATACCACCACAATAGGAGGCCATTGAGTATGCAAGCTAATTTTCTTACCAGATTTTCTGAGCTAATTCAATTATATACATTCATTGTATAGATGTGACTTTATATCATAACATTTGTAATTCCAGATAAAATTATATGTTTTGCCAGAAAATACTTTCAGATCTACCAAAAAACAAAATAAAACAAAACAAAAAAACAGGATATACGTCACTGTAAATTAAAGCTCCTAAGAAAGGTTTATATTTCTCACCTAAGAAAGGTTTATATTTCTCACATTCCTGTTACTGAATTTTTGTGAACTGAAGCGTGGCAGGCCCCTTTCCTTCACCAGGGCTTAATTTCAGAAGATTTCCTTGTAGGGGTGAATCTGAAGAATTTGAATTCAACACAAATATCAGTCCTGAAACTGGATCCAAACAATACTAGCTATACTACAATAGTCACTGTGTTCAGAATTTACCAGCCCCTGCAGTATCACATGAAAGATCTTTCTTTGTGCTGAACTTGAGATTATATACTGTAAGAAGCACTATGGATGATGGATGCTTAAGTGATCACTTGCTATTGGTCTCGGACTGGGAAACTGCAAGAAACACTGATATGAACAAAGCTAATGCAATTTCTGCTACTTTAAGATCATTCAACTCTCTATTGATGTGAGCAGAGATTTGATGGACACAACAATCTCTGGCTACTCGCTCCCAAGAGACACATAAGCTTTAGTTGCAGTTCTTTATTGTCCTAAATTTTTAATCTGAGAACAGTGGAATAGTCCAAGAATCCCTTGGAGAACAGTGATTGAAAACAATAACGAAAAAAATAGAACAAGTTTATTAATTGTTCAGCAGAGCTGGAGCAGTTTTTGCTATAACTGTTTTCTTACATCAAGAGTTTCCAATTAGTAGAAAAGTGATAAATGTTTGCAGGAGCTGAACAACACTTCTTGCAAGAGTTTAAAATGAAAGAATTTGTCATAAAGTTGTTCCCCCTTGAAGCATAGCAGCATGCTGTACGTGCCTACTCGTTGCTCATAATTTTAGCAGCTAGAGGTTCAAGGGCAGGAGGATTAGCCCACTGCCTAAGTCTTAAGGGAGTATGTTCCTTTCAGAGTCATTACAGGAAAGAAGAAAGTCCAAATTCTAATTGTATTTAGGACCACAGCATCCTTATCTCCTTTCCGAGGAAGGCACAGTTCTCATAGGCTCCCACAGGTGGGCCACTACCAATAGTCCCAAAGACAGTACTCATCAGACTGCAGAACATAATTTTGCAAAATATTTAAAGAGAAAAATAACTCAGACTATCCTTTCTGGAAGGTAGATCTAAAGACCTGAGACTGTCACAGCTCTAGCAACAGCTGAGGCTCTCTCTTCCCTTTTTATATTCTCTCAACAGTCTTCATTTATTACAAAAATGATTACTGAAAGTGCAGAAATTCATTAGCCTCTGTATGATTGAAAAGTGTACATATGTCATTAGAAATACTCAGAGAAAATATTGAAATATGTTCAGTTGCTGTTTCATAGGTGACTAGGTACGTCTCTGCTGCCTATGAAACGTGACTGTACAATTGATAATTATATGATTTGGTGTCAGCATTTTCCCCCCATTAAAAACCTGCCTGTCTAGGAGCACATTAAGTTCTGACCTTTGTATTTCTATTTTGTATTTTTTTGTTTGTTTGTTTGTTGTTGTTTGTTTTTTTTTTTTTAGTTGTTTTTTTTAATTTGTTTTGCATGGTTTAATTGTTGTTCATGAATTATAGGTGTGTTCCACGGACCAACATAATCATAAGACAAGGATGTCTTTTGATAAATGGTGAGATTGATTGGTGCACAGTGACTTTTCATGTCATTATATCACAGTCCAAATATTTTAAGGATTTCATAAGGGTTTTTCTTGTGTGTTGTTTTTTATTCAGCCAAACTCTAAACAGAGAGCTTTTCTGTGCATCCCGCTTGTATTATCTCACTTTTTTCATTTCTTTCTTTCTTAATCATATGGGTGACATTGAAACTGGAGGGAAAGAAGACACACATGAAGACACAGTAAAGTGACCTAAACAGTTTAGAGAGACAGCAGCTATAGAGAATGAGAAATCTGGCCCTAATAAGTGTAAAACAATACTGAGAGAAAACAATTTGCAGAGATACTGAATGAGAGGATATGAACAAGCTGCAGGACTAAGTGGATTTTCTTTATCTTCTTCATTCTGTTCTAGTAATGCTTTTTCATGTCACCAGACACTACAGGCTAGAGGCAAAAGTGTTTGGTGTTCACAAGATTTTTGTTTTGTTTTCTGTAAGAGGTTATCAATAGTATGGGAATAATTGGAGTTCACAGATTTTAATAGTGGTTGAGATCTCAAATTTGTTTCTTAATGATGAGATATTACTTGTAAGAAGTACAAAGTACATAGAACACTTATAATGTATTATTTATTTAAAAATATATAATGTTTGTGAATATACTGGATTTCAACATACAGTCTGAAGAAGCACATAAAAGCAGGATAGTCTTTTCCAATATTATTCCATCCCAGCTCAGCAGGAAGCATGTCCACTACCCAAGTTCATTAATATTGTGTCTATTAAATTCTTGACACCTTTCTTAATTTGTGATTGAGATTTCTTAATTGTTAGGAAAATAATAAACTTCACAAAGGAAATATCTTTATTCCAAATTTATTTACTTTATGTAGGCTGGTGAACAGCCATCTGATGTCAGCAACATTTTTTTCAGTATTGGACTTGTAAAAGAGGTTAACAACTGACCTATATATCAATGGCGTTACTCCAGCAAATACTATGTCCACAGTGAGCTTTGTGAAATTTAAACTGGTACCTTTTCCTGGCCTTTCTAGTATGAGCTTTATGCCATAGATGCCTTTCTTAGATGTTCTTACTTACACTCCTTTAGTTATTTAAACTAAGGATTGTAATCCCTGGGAGTCTGGGAGTAAAGACCCTAAGAATCCTGATAGTGGCTTCTCTTAATGCCACTTTACACCATTTTAATAGCAAAAGGGCCATAAAAATAATGTAAATATAAATTATTGCCGTTTTAATGTCTCTTTATATCATGAGACTGATGTGAAGTGTCCTTCCTGTAAATGAGAATGAGGCCTCAGGAGTCTAAATTGATGTTATTCACATGCTGATGGACCAAATGATATGAACAAAGCAAGCAAAAGATAAATCTATGCATTTACTTCAGAGCCTTTTTGATGTATACCTTTTTGTACTTCCCTTTGGTTCCACTTGCACATTCACACATCAGTTTCTGAAGAGGACAAGGAGTGAGGTTACGTGGACCTAATGCCTTCACTTGGGGTCATGGCTTTAAAATTTCAGACAATACACCTCCTCCTCCATATCCAGAGACCGTTACCCCAAATAGCAAATGTGAGAAATTAGAAAACACACTTACTTCTGCTCTTGCAGCACACATCATGGCCCAGATCACTCTCCTCTGGCATTGGCTGAGGGCACAGATATGGTGGCCCTGGCATGGCTGTGACACAGATCGTTCCCTAACATTTACCACGGAGACAGAAGTGAAATAGAAGATAAATTAATGTCTGGGGTAGGTCAGCCTCCTCAACCTAACACAATAACAGACACCACAGTATCAGGCAGCATTTGTTTGTCAAAACACTAAGTTCTGTGTGAATGAAATACAAATTACCACTAAATTCAGTATTTGTTGACACCTGGCCTACTGCACATTTCATAAGAACCCAAAACGTATGCATCTCAACCACTCTAGAAGACGTGAGTGCTACTGTTTTATATGACCCTGATATTTGCTTAAGAGATGCACTCACAGGTTGGTTTTTTTTTTGTTGTTGTTTGTCTGTTTAATGCATATTGGAGGAAATTTGTGGGTTTTTAATCCAAGGCAGAGTTTCAAAGCAGATCAGTACATCTCTGCAATCTGAATAGGCCAGCCTCTCCACAACCCAGCCCTTGCCTGCCCTGGGCACCACTGGCCCAGGCCCATCTCCATCCCCATTCCAGGGGCTGCCCTCACAGCCAAGCCTGGGTCTGTCAGTAGTACCTAGGGATGTCTGGGTTGTGGCTGACCCTAGTCACCATTCTTGGCCTAGAGCAGCTCACTTTTCAGGCGCTTCCCCACTTGGCCAGGGAGGGAGACCCTGACCACTACCTGCATAATGCTGTCCTAACGGCAGCAGCTCCTCCCAATCAGTCACACCTGGGCCACCTCACAAGGAGAGCTCCAGGCTGCTGATATTTAACTCACCTGGATGTTTTACCACCCTGGGCAGCTGGGCAGGTCCACCTAATACACACAGCAATTCATTAGGCAGCAGCACAGCTGCACCAAATCTGCTTGCTCCCCCAAAATCTAAAAAAAACAAGGAGTCTCTTGTAGCAAAACGAGCAGGGCCTGCATCATTACAGCCTTGACTCATCCCCTAATGGAGAGTCAACTTTCTGAACCTATGCTACTACTTTCCCTGAGAGGAAAATATATTTTTGGCACTACTAACAATGAGAATGTGAATCTGTATGTTAAAATATGCGTTTTACTAATTAATATTCACTCTTTGACTTTGCTTCTTGCTTAAATATTATAAACAGATTGGATACAATATCTTTGGTCAAAAGTGCCCAATAACAACATCAAAGGATGCCTGAATAACTACCAAGATATAAGTGGAAAAGCTAATCCAAGTATTTTAAATAAGCAATTAATCATTTTTTCATGTAAAGCTTTCTGTTAGAAGTACAAGTTGCTATTAAATCTTTATGAAAGCCAAACAGGAGCTCTTGGGAAAACAGCAAATTTTGACATTTCAACAAGTAGTGAAACATTTTATTTCAAATTTCACAAATTTCAAAAGTATGATACTTACATGTGTTGATGCACTATCAACATGTATTTTGATTATCAAATCCACTTGTGTGGTGTAACTATACATAATTTATTTTATATTAATATTAGTCATCATAATAATCCCATAAGAGATGAAAGACCAGATAAATCAAGTATGGCAAAGTAATGAACGGATACCACTGCTTTTTCCGCTCAAATAGAATATATAATGGTATCTAGTCAATCTAATTCTGGATAAATTTTGCTACTACTGAAATAGTCTGTTAGAATTGTTCTTCAAGACTCTAATTATTTCCTAGTAACCAAGCATGGTGTCAGCTTAATCTTCCTGGCATGTAGAGAACAACTCTGAAGAACAATTCTGTGCTTTCACTACATTCTACAGCCATTACACAGCAATTCCAATATTGCAACTGGAATTGAAATTGCAATATTGTGTTTTCTGTATGTGTTTTCTAATTTCTCACCTTTGCTATTTGGGGTAATGGTCTCTGGATATGGAGGTGTGTTGTCTGAAATTTTAAAAATAGTATTGCCTGTTTAAACTTTGTAGCTGAAGAATTTATTTTTGCACACATACATAGTTGTCACCTTACAACTCCTATGTCAAGCAGTCACAAATCAATGGACAAGTATCCTGAAACATTTCATTAAATTTTGGAAAATAAGATTTCCTATCTAAATGCTGTTGTTCTCAGTTCAATGCTTTTAAACCACTGTTTTGGTAAGTGAAAATTTATATGGTATGAAAACTATATAATGCTTTTAATAGACAGTACTACATATTAACATATTTTTTTCTTATGACATTCTGCTGGTGGCTGCACTTCTGTCTTATCAAACAAAGCATGCTAAAGTTAAATGGAGTCAGCACTCCTAAAAGTGTTTCACAGAAGTAGGTGTGTGTTCACAAAAGTAGGTGTGTGTTCCAATCAGGACCTAAGGTACAATGCTTTTGTTCATGATGTTGAGGAGTGTGCCTTATAGATGAGTTAAGAATGCACTGTTCACCCTACTTGACTATTTAGGCAAAATGCAAGTCTGACTACATTTCCCAATATTAACAGCAGTATCTTATGAGTACTAGATTCATGTTATAGGAATGGGATTATTTTCTTTGCAGAGACAATAATGATGGCGGACTCAGGGCAGTCGTATTTTGTCGGACCAAGAACTCAGAACATGTGTGTCCCATAATGTATTAAAGGTCTGAAAAAGTTGTAAAATATGCTTATATTTTTTATGTTATCATAGAATCATAGAATGTTTTGGGTTGGAAGGGACTTTAAAGACCACCAAATTCCAACCCTCCTGCCATGGATGGGAACACCTCACCCTAGACCAGGTTGCTCAAAGCCCCATCCAGCCTGGCCTTAAACACTTGCAGGGATGGGGCATCCACAGCTTCTCTGGGCAACCTGTTCCAGTGCCTCACCAACCTCACAGTGAAGATTTTCTTCCTGATACCTAATCTAATATACCTTTTTTTAGTTTTTAAAGCCATTACTCTTTTTCCTATCACTACACTCCCTGATTAAGAGTTGCTCTCCAGATTTCTTGTAGGCCCCCTTTAGGTACTGGAAGGCCTCTCTAACATTGTGTTGAAGCCTTTTCTTCTCAAGGTTGGAAAAATAAAAAAAAAAATAAAAAAAAAATAAAAAAAAGAGGACATAAAAAGTATTACCCTCCTTTAACTCATCTACTTTAATCAACTAAGTCTATTTTTTGTCTCATCTACAGTTAAACTAAGTACAATTTACTTTGGTGTACTTTGGATCAAAGATTTCAGGCCTGAGGTCTCAGTAACACAACTACTTGTATTAGCAATTCAAATATTTCAAAACTGCTCTTTGGCATTAAGGCCAACAGGAACAGAGCAGACCCAGCTTCACTTTTAAAGACTCTCACCCTCCAAAATAGTGTGGCTGCACCCAAAGGGTATTTGAGAACACTCCCTGACCCAGGCTGACATCTGAGCTTTCTGGAGGTCGCTCAGGAAGATGCTGGATGGACTGGACCAAAACCATACTAGGGACATGTTACAAGTAGCATGGTCAGCTCAGATCCCAGTGCTCAGGAAGGTTCTCTGGCACTTTTTAATTTCCTTGTATAAATAGTACACTTATGGCAACAACTTTTCTGAAAGCCTAGGAAAGAACAAGAAAGGGTACATTATATATAACTGTGTATAAATAAATAAAGCAGATATCTCATTGTCAATGGAACACATTCCCAGCATGTCCTATGAATCTGAAATGCCCTACATTTTCAATTATTAAGGTGCTTAATAAAATTGTCATTTACCTTCTATTTCATAAAATATATAAACTGTGTTCCTTCGTTCTTTCAATGTAAAATATATCTTCTGTCTCCTTTAATCATTGTCTTTGGTCTTTGAAATTTCTTCAGGCTACTAACATTGTTTTGTTTTTGTATTTGTATGTTTTTGTTTTTTGTTTTTTTTTTTGTTTGTTTGTTTTTTTAAACTAAAATCAATGAGAAATTAACATAGTATGCTTAAAGCAATTACTTCAATACAAAATAAATAAATAAACAAATAAATAATAATAATAAAGTTAAGATAGCTTTAATGCAACTTGGTCTCTCTTTCAGAATACATCTTAAGACTGGGATCTCCCAGTGTTGTACAGGGAACTTGTGTTCAACAAATAGTTTATCCAAATCTTTTGCAAAGTTTCCATCCTTCAGGTATTTCTGTATTTTTTCTTCTTAAAGGTATGGTTTTACCCTCAGACGTATTGAAAAGCATATTGTTCACATGCAGCCATTTTACTAACAATAAAATCTTGTTCTTTTTACTGCATACTGTTTCTCTAATCCTTATGTCACCCACAGATGTTATCAACAGTGATACTTTCTTCTAATTAGTTGCAAAAATACTAAATAGTGTAAAGCATTGAACAAATCCATCTAAGTCTTCAGTAGAAACATGCCAGATAAATTAACAGAAATATTAGAAAACCTGGGGTGTAACTGAGCTCTTCTGGATACTGCACAGACACCGTAAAGAAGTGTTTATCCCCTTGCAACAGAAACTATTCACTGAAGACAGAAAAAAAATTAAATTATATGTAAAACCTCTCTATCTTCAATTTCTGCATCTTGAAGGAACAGCATTGATATCTGCTAGAAGGTACTCACTGAAGAAATTGTGGGTTATAGTTAGTAAGGAGAAATTTCAAGCTTGTGTTCAACCTGATTTCCATAAGCAGGAAAAAAAAAAAAAAGGAAAACATTTTTCAGATTACTTTCAAACAGGTAAAACAGAAAATCTATACTGAAATCTGATCTTTATTCTAATAGCATATCGCAAAGAAAATTACCTGTTGGCATTATTTTTACGGCATATTATGGGGGGAAAAGCTATTTAGATATTTTGTGTAAACTGTAATGTAAAACTGGGGAAAACACATTTTTTGAATGTGTAAATAAAAGCTACAATTTCCCTGTACCTGCCATGCCAGCTGCTCCATAGAGGAAGGCTAGCCAGGAAGCTGGTGAGACAGGAAGGCAGGCACAGGACAGGGATCTAACCAGCAAGGGTGCCAGCCAGTAACACCCAAACAAGAGGAGCAGGGCGGGTTTGGTGCCAGCAGCCAGGGTCAGCCAATAGTTCAGGGCTCTCGCCAGGCAAGGTCATGCTAATGAGACTAG